CCCAAGAATTCAAGCATCCTCACTCCGTTGTCATTCACTTTGTCTTCTCCGTGCTGCCCCGATCGCCTGTCCTCTGCTGGAAGCTATCCCTACTCTAGAGTTCAAATCGCCCACCATGACAACTTCTCTCTTCCTATTGAACCTCTGGACATCTTCCCCAATTTGGCCAAAGTTCTCCTGCGCCTTNTTCAACACCATCAGTTCGTTGCTTCCCAAGAATTCAAGCATCCTCACTCCGTTGTCATTCACTTTGTCTTCTCCGTGCTGCCCCGATCGCCTGTCCTCTGCTGGAAGCTATCCCTACTCTAGAGTTCAAATCGCCCACCATGACAACTTCTCTCTTCCTATTGAACCTCTGGACATCTTCCCCAATTTGGCCAAAGTTCTCCTGCGCCTTGCTTGCCATTTGCTTCGACGACGGTGGGACGTATACGTTCCCTAGAAACAAATCTTTCTCACCCCGCTCCCCAGGTATCTTAAGCCATAGGCTTTCCTCGAACTCCGTTTTCACACACTGCTACCACCAAGTCAAACAAGTGGTCCTCGACCAGGAATCCCCGTGGGGTGAAAAAATTACGAAATTTGCGGGTGAAAGCGAAATATAGCTAATAAGCTCTCGTGAGTACGAAACGTCGACATTAGCACCGTTGACGAGGGAAAGAGACGGCTGGACCCTTCTCGCGATAACAAAAAAATCAGCACGCACCGCAGGAGGAAGGTGGGGCATGAAAAGAAATAAAAAGAAGAAAAAAGCCCTCGTGTTTATTTACCCCCTCCTGGGTGACCCTGGATGGTTGTAGTTGTACGAAAAAATACACTTAAAAGTGTAGTACTCAACATACGCTGAAAAGTGTAGTACACGTCTCACCACGAAAAATGGGGAGACTCGCCATAATAAATGGGACGACAACACACACACACGCAACACAGATGCTGGGGGACTGTCGCCATAATTAACATAGGACGAAAAAAAAACACACACACAAAACACAGATGCTGTATTTCGAGGCCACATCGGGAGTTGTGTCAGTTCTCGAAACTGATTACGTACTTCTTGGAAAACAGCCTCTCTCGATCTAGCTATAGCCCGCAATCAAGTCCAACCTTGACCGCTTTCGACACAAGCCGGCCGAAGGAACGCGAATACCCCGCCTTCACAAACAAGGAAAAGTGCAGCACGACAACATCAAGGGACATGTATCGCACAGAGGACTGCAAAAACCCGCACGAGGGGGCAACGACTATGACGAGACTGAGATGTGCACCGGGATAGACTACACAACGAAAAACAGCCCACCTCAAATACACACCTCTCGTGACTCCTACGTACCACAGCAATATACCTCCGGAACCAATGCACAATTAATCGTATGCACGTTGCAAGAAATGCTTCGGTTCACATGTACTGGGACGGTTAAGCACGAACACAAACCAACAGCTTATTCCCAATGTCTTTCAACACAACGTGCAACAAAGGTGCACAACAGGTACGCTCAGCGCAGCCGCGAGGACACAAGATGGTTTCGACTGGACCAAGCAAGACACGATACGCGTACGACCCCGAGCGATCGACACAGACACCAGAGACCATGTCTCGAGGAGGGCTGAGGCACAATGATCCATAAAAGTAAAGGCCCATTCTACAACCGTTACAGAATACAAGAACATGTTGTTATCGCCACGCGAGCTGATGCAAACAGCTCGCATCTTAGTGCACTCTACGCTGTACCGCTTGCAACACCTGCTGGTCAAATGTTTACCACAAAAAAAGGACGGAGATGCTCTATACCGGCTCTACGCAGTCGTTGCACGCCGGTACTCCGACCATTGCGGCTCGGTACCCAGTCAAGAAGTGCTCGAGCGACACCGGGGCGTGCTCCAAGATGTCCTGGAAGGACTTCACGCTGCTTGCTGCGGCCATCAGGGGGACCTTCACCATCACCACCTGTACCGATGGGAAAGAGGTACAGACGCAAGTGCGTGTGTTATGAACAGCGGTCACGTACGTGCACAGTATTTTCATGATGAACTTGATGAAATGCGTACCTTGGAACACAGTCGGCTTCTGCTCTCCTCGCAAACAACCAAAAAAGCTAGGGAGAGGGCGACGAGGGGGAGGAGCGCCGAGGTTGCATCCTTCTTTTTCAGTTCCTTCTCAAGATGGACGAAACAATTATCAAGTGCTGGGCGGCACGGTACAGAACCAGCCGGGGAAGGGGTGCGGTAAAGACACGACGACGGTAACTGGAACAGGTACCGGTGAGACGCGACCGTCAATGGCAATCTACTTCTACTACAACGGCCTTGGCCTATCACGTCGTCCTTGTCGCCGTCGTCGCCCCGGCATCCCTGCCTCGCCCTCTGGCCGTTGCGGCCAACCAGGAAGCGAACGGCCACCCTGATGGTGGCGACGATGCTCTTCAGCCAGTTTTTCGCGCGGCCGTTGTTGTTCTTCGGCCGCACCTGGAAACCAGGTCACAGCAACGCACAACCTTTTCGTGCATCCAACAACGAAATCAATACAATCTTGGTAACCCCACCAACGCGCCGCCCGTCGAACAAACAGACGCAATGATTCCTTCGTGGACAAGGTGTTCCTGTTCGCGACCACGATCGGTNGTCGGCCGAGGATAGCCCCCCCGGTTTTCCACCGACCATCATCCCGCCCCTGCGGCGCGTGGAGGTTGCGTTACCTACGCAACCTCCATGCGCCGCAGGGGCGAGATGATGGTCGGTGGAAAACAGGGGGGGCTACCCTGGGCCGACGGGAGGCGCGACAGCGGCGGGGTAGGGAAGGGGTCCCCGGTACCTATCGTGGTCTCGAACAGGAACACCTTGTCCACGAAGGAATCATTGCGTCTGTTTGTTCGACGGGCGGCGCGTTGGTGGAGGTACCAAAATATTGTATTGATTTCGTTGTTGGATGCACGAGAAGGTTGTGCGTTGCTGTGACCTGGTTTCTACTTGCGCTTCTGTTCGAGCGTGGTTCTCCTCGCACTGCTGTCGTGGTTCGTTGGCGTGGTCTATTGGTCTATTGGCGTGCCCTCAAGCGCCGAGAAGACAAATCTTACGCGTTCGAATGTCGCCGGGACACCGCGAAAGTAGTGCTTCTTCATGATGTAGACATATAGTAGAAGCTGTTGTTGACCAGGGGGAGAGGATTCGTGGGCCAATATTGCCCCAACGCTGACGTAATGCACCCTCAGAGGAACCGTCTTTGTGAGACAGACCCCCCGGACAAGAGTGCTCCTACCACACGGAGGGTGGATACTGCGAGCACCGACAAGAGTATATGGGACGAAACACTGACGGAAAAATACATGCAGCATACTGTCATGACGGTTCTCATTTTTCTTTTCTGTCATTAACTCGACCTGATGGGCGTCGCCGTTGATTGGGCTACAATCAGCAGTAGTCTAAACGGTGCAAATTACAGTTTTCCATTGAGCACGCTGCTTGTACCATTGAAGGACACCAAGGGCAACGATCCCACATTCATCCAAGACAGCGAATCGCAATTGTCTCACGCTATGCGCGCGAGAGGTGTATATTCGGCAATATCTAGGCTCGAAGTGGAGACGGGCGGGTTGACTTGACCCAGTCTGTAACTCACCCTGGTTCGGTACTCGAGGGTACCTCGTGTCTTGGGGATGATACGGAGAAGGCGCTTACCGCCAACGCCGCGATGATGACCATTCTCGTAAAGAGAGAAGCGTACATGTTTTTTCGTGAAATGTGTCACACTTATCTGCAGAGAGCAAAAGAAAACAGATCGATAAATGCACGGAGGAAGCGGGCGCAGCAGAAGTTAGTTACTTGCACAGACAGCCGACTAGGGCAGACTCGGCGAGGTCAATGCCGTGAGCTACAACAGGTCCAAGCGCTACCTAGACGACGAACTACAACGCGGTGGTTGCCTACGTACCACGATATTTCATAATTGATTGATTGCCCGTGGCTGTGGCACTCGTGCGAGAGGAGAATCTCGGTGCAAGGTCCTCTTCCTTACCGCGAGGTTGATGAGCATTGATTTGCCGCAGTAGAATGTCTGTACGTGCAGTCGGGGGTACGGGCACTGAGCTCCAGGAGGTCTAGGCTACTACAGCCGCGATACGACGTCCGGAGGCATCGACCATTGCTTGTTCCCTCTCGTTTACAGTAAGTAGTGGATGATCCCGTCACTTCCTCTGTGGTGCTCCCCTATTCTGTATTCTTGCGCCACCTGCCTCACTCACCTGTTGTGTTTTTCCGTTGTCAAGTCGATTTCAGTGCAGATTGACGATGTGGTCCGCTGAGGCTGTGGAAATTGTGAGCAGGTGGGCAAGAGGGTACGAGAGGGCTGGGCGCGCATGGTTGGATCTGCATACGTGGTCGGGGACTTGAACCGAAAAAAATATCGTTGTCGGTCAAATGCCTCGTTGAATCGAGACACGGGACTTGTCAGATGCCTCGTTGAAGCGAGAAACAGCGGGCCAGGTATTCAGTTTCGTTTCATTCAAATTTGTTGTGGGGATACACTGTGCGCTGCACGTCCACAACAGAACACAGAGACTATCATCTCAACAGGTCTACAAGGCTTCAATCCAGAGTGCTTGCATGGAGCCATACCGTTGTGCCTCCATGCCGTGTTGTGCCTCTCTCACGACGGATGGAAGAACAACAGCAGCGTTTGTTACCGTTCGGGCCAACCCAATGCGTTGTGAATGACGTAGCTTCTCGAAGGTCCAAACAAGGAGAATTCCCGTAGTTGCTGCATACTACGCCAACCGTGGTGAGAAACACAGGTTCTCTTTACCATCCTAACCGTGTTGGGGGACGGGAGAGGGCAGGTAGTTCGAACTTGACTCTGCGCTCTCGCCGCTATGCATCGTTCGAGCCATGACCAAATTTATCAGAACATTCCCGGGTATATTTCACCTACAGTAGATTGATTCCAACCATGCGACCGAAGCGATTTAGGTGGCCAATGCCACTACACTAGTAAAGTCATGTTCACGATCATCGATATCTGACGAAGTAAAGTTTCTTTCGCACAAACGAACGTGCATCTGCACACACACACCATTAACAACAAAACGTGCGTGGCGGAGCTGTTGCATCGTTGAATGCAGCCGTTCGGAAACATCACACCGGGAGATACTGCTCGACCAGTTGACAATTTGGTTCCCCAAAACCTCTGGCCTGATTATGGTACTCGACATTCGAGAAACTAACACCGTGGTCGGCGCCAAGTTAGACTGGTGTGGCGAGGAACTGCCTTCGACACCGCGGTGCGGAAATACCAGCAACGGGCCGATGCACGAGGCGCGACCCAGTTCTTTTGCCCCCCCCACAATATACACGAGTAATGGCCGACAGTATCAGAGTCTTGGTCCCCTTTCCCCTCCACACAGCGTTTCTTGTGGGCAAGGTAAAACAGACCTTCCCTGGTTTCCTCCCACCGTGATAAACAGCAGATTTGAGGACATTGATGGCCGGAACCCTGTACACAGGTTCATGGTCGCCGGGTTAGCATGGAACTAGTGCGCATTCTTTCCGTAAGGAGTCGCACGCTTCTTAGCACGTTTCGTTTGTCTTCAATAGCCAACACGAAAGCAACCCCCGTGTGACTGCAGCAACTGCCTCCGTATCTACAACGCGTCGGAACGAAAGAGCAGCGTTTTTGTGACGTACGTTGGCTGCTGTCACCGATACGGACGCAACCGTCTTGCATGAGCGTGGCGATCGGCAACAGGGCACTGTTCGAGCGAGTTTCCGGGTATATACATTGGTATGCTTGTTTTCATGTGTCAATGGCGGCGTCAGCTTTCGTCAGAACCGACATGAGTTTTTTTTCTTTTTTTCTTGACACTCCGAATCCGACAACTGGCGGACTTTGCGGCCGATCCCCAAACTCAGCGACCGGGCATCGTTCGAGCGTTTGAATTTTCGATTGATATATACTGTATAGATATTTTACCTACTGATTTGGCGGTGGCGGCCGAAGCCAACCCCGAACTCAGTAACAGGACACAGTTCGAGCGGCTGTGGCACTCCTGATCCGACGACCTACTGAGTTGGCGGCGGCGGCCGAAGTCCGCCACAAACTCAGTAACAGGGCACCGTTCGAGCGACTATCATTGCACTCCGGACCCTACTACCTACTGAGTTTCCAGCAGGCATGGCATCAGGTTTTATCGACGACCGGCAGTCGAGCAACTTGCATTGGCACTCCGGATCCGACGACCTACTGAGGAGGCGGTGGTGGCCGAAGCCAGCCCCCGAGCTCAGTAACCGGGCACCGTTCGAGCGACTATCATTGCACTCCGGACCCTACTACCTACTGAGTTTCCAGCAGGCATGGCATCAGGTTTTATCGACGACCGGCAGTCGAGCAACTTGCATTGGCACTCCGGATCCGACGACCTACTGAGGAGGCGGTGGTGGCCGAAGCCAGCCCCCGAGCTCAGTAACCGGGCACCGTTCGAGCGACGGTTCTTGTTTGTCTGCTTTATTTTCTTCTCAGATATATGTTTATTTCGTTGCACTCTGGATCCGACTACCAACTGCGTTTTCGGCGATGGCCGAAACCAGCCCCCGGCTCAGTGGCAGGGCACCGTTCGAGCGACGTTCGTTGCGCTCCGGATCCGACTACCTGCTACCTGTGCAGCGGTGCATGGGCTAGCGGTCGACAGGGCACCGTTCGAGCCACAGTTGACAATTGTTTGACACTTTGTTATTGTTATTGCACTCCGGATCCGACTAGCCTACAGTTGGCGGCGATGGACAGAGCCATCCACCGGCTCAGAACCAGGGCACCGTTGGAGAGACAATATATTGTTCTTTGTTACTGTTTTCTATTTATCGTGATGGCTCTTCAGATCCGACTAACCTCCTGAGTTGGCGGCGATGACCGGTGCCAGCCACCGGCTCAGCAACAGGGCACCGTTACAAATATATTTTGGTTCATTGTTGTGTGACATGTTTAGTATATATTTGGGGTGATTGCACTACGGATCCGACTACTTACGGAGTTGGCGGCGATGACTGAAGCCAGGCCACGGCTAAGCAACAGGGGCACCGTTCGAGCGACATTTTTACTCTTGTTTGATACTGTTCCACACTCAGTGTGAGTGCACTCCGGATCCGACTACCTACTGAGTTGGCGGCGATGGCCGGGCCAACCACCGGCTCCGTAACAGGGCGCCGTTCGAGCGACGTCCACTCCGGATCCGACTACCTATACTGAGATGGCCGCGATAGCCGAAACCAGCCATGAACTCAGAATAGGGTTCGATGGACTATTATTTGCACGCCGGATCCGACTACCTCCTGAGTTGGCAGCAGTGGCCGAAACCAGCCCCAACTCAGCAGCAGGGCACCGTTCGAACCACAGTTTGTTGTCGTTTGACGTTACTATGTATCTATTATTGTGACGACACTCCGGACTCGACGACCTACTGAGTGGGAGGCGATGGCAGTTGGCAGCAGTGGCCGAAGCCAGCTCCAACTCAGCAGCAGGGCACCGTTCGAACCACAGTTTGTTGTCGTTTGACGTTACTATGTATCTATTATTGTGACGACACTCCGGACTCGACGACCTACTGAGTGGGAGGCGATGGCAGTTGGCAGCAGTGGCCGAAGCCAGCTCCAACTCAGCAGCAGGGCACCGTTCGAACCACAGTTTGTTGTCGTTTGACGTTACTATGTATCTATTATTGTGACGACACTCCGGACTCGACGACCTACTGAGTGGGAGGCGATGGCAGTTGGCAGCAGTGGCCGAAGCCAGCTCCAACTCAGCAGCAGGGCACCGTTCGAACCACAGTTTGTTGTCGTTTGACGTTATTATCTAATATTGTGACGACACCCCGGATCCGACTACCTTCTCGTTTGGCGGCGATGGCCGAGGCCAGCCCCGAGCTCAGCAACAGGGCACCGTTCGAACCACAGTTTGTTGTCGTTTGACGTTATTATCTAATATTGTGACGACACCCCGGATCCGACTACCTTCTCGTTTGGCGGCGATGGCCGAGGCCAGCCCCGAGCTCAGCAACAGGGCACCGTTCGAGCGACAATTTATTGTAGTTTAACGTTGCACTCCGGATCCTACTACCTGCTGAGGTGGCGGCGGCGGCGGCCGAAGCCAGCCCCGAGCTCAGCAACTGGGCACCGTTCGATCGACAATTTATTGTTGTTGAACGTTGCTATTTGCTCGTTGTCCACCCCGGATCCGAATACCTCCTGAGTTGGCGGCAACTGTCGAAGTCAGCCCCGAGCTCAGCAGCAGGGCACCGTTCGAGCGACAATTTATTGTTGTTTAACGTTGCTATTTATTCATTGTCCACCCCGGATCCGACTACCTGCTGAGTTGGCGGCAACGGCCGAAGCCAGCCCCGAGCTCAGCAGCAGGGCACCGTTCGAGCGACAATTTATTGTTGTTTAACGTTGCTATTTATTCATTGTCCACCCCGGATCCGACTACCTGCTGAGTTGGCGGCAACGGCCGAAGCCAGCCCCGAGCTCAGCAGCAGGGCACCGTTCGAGCGACAACTTAACATTGCTGTTATTCATTGTCCACCCCGGATCCGACTACCTACTGAGGTGGCGGCAACGGCCGAAGCCAGCCCCGAGCTCAGCAGCAGGGCACCGTTCGAGCGACAACTTAACATTGCTGTTATTCATTGTCCACCCCGGATCCGACTACCTACTGAGGTGGCGGCAACGGCCGAAGCCAGCCCCGAGCTCAGCAGCAGGGCACCGTTCGAGCGGCATTTTATTTTTGTTTGACACTGTTTTGCATTCATTGTCCACTCCGGATCCGAGTACCTACTGAGGTGGCAGTATTTGCCAGCCGCCGACTCAGTAACAGGGCACCGTTGGAGCGACATTATTTTTCGCCTGCATGCAATATACGGCGTTGCAGGAGTTGTCCGTCATATTTGACGTGTTTCGATTTCGCTCCGGATCCGACTAGCCTTTTGAGATATTTGTGGCGGTGGTGACCGAAACCAGCCGCCAATTCAGTAGTAGGGCACCGTTCGAGCGACATTATTTCGCCTGCATGCTATATAGCGTTGCAGGGGAGATATGGGTGGTGGTATCATGCATCATCAGCCGCGCCCACAACTCCGTTTCTATATTCTCGTATTCATGGCGTAGCTACATTCCCACACGGGAGGGGAGTTCAATCACGTGTAGTGCGTTGGTTCTATCACGTTAAGTGCGTTGGGTGGAGGAGACGGTTACGCATAGTTGCGCATAGATAGCCGAATACCATCACCCCCGTACAGGTGGCGTCATGATGGTGTACCGGTATGCATGTAGGCACAGCAGTAGCCCTCGATTGCTGCTCGCCTGCCGCTCGGTTGCAGAGACTGAACGTTGGCGGAGGCAGACGAGAAGTATGAATGGGAGCACACAGCAGACTGCTGTCGAGCAGACTGGGCGACCTGCGTGATCTCATGTGGCGGCGTCCTATGCACACCTCCAGAGTGGCACACGGCGGAATTGCACCGCGCGCAAGGTGACCCTGTGACGGCGCGGCTGTCTACGATGGCGGTAGATGAGATGTGATTAGCCAGCCCTTGATGAGATTTGACACGAAAACACCTACCGCGCGAATTGTCAAGCCCCCAGAGTAGGTAGTAGTCCCCTCGTAGTTCCACGGCTGGGCGCTCCAGCCGAGCGTGTTCCATCATCATCCTGCCGGCGTCCCACAGGTCCCCGAGAAAAGCTACGAAGTTCTGATAGCTATGCAATATGCATAGGTCCAAACCTCGATGTAGCTAGCTGCTGCCCTCCTTCTCGCGTGACCCTCCGACGCGGGCTGCGTGTTACACACTGCTGTGCATTCCTCAACACGTAGCCCTTGGTTCAGTAGATACGCGTCTATCGAACTCTTGCTGCAGGAGCAGCGAGGCAGCAGAATGAGAACTCCGTGAGACCCTTTCCTTGCAAGACCCCAGAAAACCAAGTCAAGACAACCCAACCGACACGCCTCCAGCGCGGTACAACGATAACCCAAATACAAACGTAGATCTGGGAGATACTCCGAATCCCTCCGTGCAAAATGAACAGCAGTTACAGGTATTCTGTCTTCGAGAACAAACTTTCATTTTTATTGCGCCGCCTCAAACTCCAAACTCCGAACACGTGCTTCGCGCGAAAGTCTCGCTACCCAAGCAAAAACACCTTCGCCTCCAGCGATCATGTAGCGATCCTACCAATCACCACGTATGCCCAACAACCAACCGTACGAGTAGCGTTACGCAAGGAAGCAAGAACAAGAACGGAGTCACGACGGCGTACGACACACAAATTTTCAACATGCGGCGAGATAACGCGGTTTAGTTACAAGACATGCTTCCCTGTGATATATGCTTTTAGCTGGGTTTGTGTTCTGAGGTGGAGCACTGCGAACCAATCACAAGTAAGGTGTGGTTCTACTAGCAAGGGTGGTTCTGCTAGCACGTCGGGTCCAAGGAATGTTTGGTCAATGCGGTCGATGCCCGTGTTGCGGTCACGGGTCTCTGTTGTGCACAAGAGGTAGAGTCGAATGTGGTCTCGTTTAGTCAACCTGAAGGTGAACTCCTGATCAGCAACAACACCTACTGAACTCAACCGCTTATCAATCCAATCTCACTATGCTGTCCGATGCTATGCTAAGGCGTCACACTCAACACAACGCTATGGGGACGGCACTCACGCTCACCTAAACCCTCGTCGAAGCTATACCAAGCGGCTTCTGATCAAGGGGGTGGCTGTAGAAGCGCTGAAAACCAGAATAATCCAAATACTTTGGAACTCCGGGAAAACGGGGATAACTTCAACCATACGGTTACAATCTGCGGAGCTTCCTACAACATTGACCCACCCTTGCTTTTTCGCGGAACAATTTACATAAAATATTTCGTGGAAAAGCAAATAACAAAAACGGTAGGAAGCTCCTTTGAATAATAATTAAGGTACTCCCGCCCCCTCCCATTTACCATTGCGAAATACTTAAAAACCACTCCACATCAAAATTGCTCCTCCTACACGGGTTTCGACCTGTTTCGCTGCTTGTCCTACTGCGACTTTATGCATTTTAAATGCGTGACACGGTTCTCCTCCATTCTGAGCTCCTAGTGGGAAACGTTACGGACATAGGGGTGAAAGGCTACAAGTTGTGGCCGATCCGACCCACCCATATCAAGACATACTTCTTGCGGCTCCAGACTATGGGCTGAAATCAACTCTTCTCAATAGCGGAAAAATGTACTTTCAAATTGTTTACTGGCTGTACCATTCTGCCCGAGATGATCCCCCACTACCGCCTCGACCCCGCAGGAATCTAAACAACCCTGAAATGCCACCGACAGCCCCATAGTAAACCAGAGTATTACCCCTGGCCCATAGGCCCTGCCGAGGACACTCAACGCTGCCCAACCCTGGAATGCCACCGACAGCCCCATAGAAAACCAGAGTTTTACCCCTGGCCCATAGGCCCTGCCGATGACACCCAATGTTGTTCTTCCTCCTGCTAGAACTGACCGGTATCATCCTGTCTTTCTCGGCTATTCCTATTCGTAAACTTGAAATGTCGCATTCGGCTAATATCTGAAGAGCACACCAGGCTTGCTATCATCTGAGGACCGCTTAGAGGTGGGTAATGACGCTTTTCTGTAGTCACCGACCCATCAACTCTGCTCCACGCCAAATAAAATAATGCCGTCGCTTTACAACTAATTCATGCATCCGTTATTAGAAACTGGGGCTCAACGATACCTCCTATACTAGGCACATCCGATACCATGACCTACCCACGTGCTTGACAAATATAGACATAACACAAACACAAGAAGGAGGCTTCTAGGCATATATCCGATACCATGCCCTACCCAATTGCTCGAAGAACATAAACATAAAACACAAACACAAGAAGGAGGCTTCTAGGCGTATCTGATACCATGCCCTACCCAATTGCTTGAAGAAATATACACGTAGATAATCACAAATAAAAGCAAAGAAGGGGATAGCCAACTCCCCTCACCATGAATACACACAACACACAACTTGCATCACCGACACCGTCGATACTTCGATACTGCCAAATCAGCGGACACCTAAACATCCGGCCAGCAGCAGAGGTAGTGGCGGTCCCAGGGAGATCCCAGTGCTGAAGATTAGGTAGTCGATGGTGCCAGGAAAAGCCGAAGTGCCCGATGTCCTTCCCGAGCTTGCAGAAGAAGAGTGGATGTCGATCGACACATGATTATGAGTCGAGCCCTGCGCCCTTACTGGAGAGACTCCCTCCGATGGAACACCAGACTAAAACGGGAGATCAACGACACGTGAAGGTGTGCCAAGACCTCGATCCCGCCCGGGGAAGCACAACACAAATGAACATGAGAAGCACACACACCCTGATTTCCTCCTCTTTTCATCTCCCTTTCTTTTCCTTCTTTTTCTTTTCCCGCGTTCTTCTTTTCTTTTTCTTTTCTTGCTCTTTTCTTTTCTTGTCCTTTCTTTCTTTCTTTCTTTCTTCTTTTTTTTTTTTGTTTCTTCCCCCTCTTTTGTTTCTCTGGTCCCTCCTACATTAGCCCCCCTAAACGTTTCACGCTCCCCGACTGCATGTGCATCAAGAAGCACCAACTATAGGCTGCTGCCTTCACGTCCGCACTATACTTCTCTTGCTCTAACGCTACGTTGTACCGCATTTCTAGGTCTACGAAATCTATGTTGTACGGCCGGGGCTCATCTACTCTCCTCGAAACCCCATGTATCACCCCCAACTGCCATCCATCCCTCTCGGTACGCAAATAAATCTGTGCACCCTTCATCTCTACCGTTCGGAGCTCGGGCCCTCCTACCCACGTGGCTTTAAGGGCATACCCTGGAGGTACGTATAGGGATTCCCGCGCGCGAGCTGCCGCGCGCAGGGCCGCTAGTTTGCGGAAGTCGCGGTACTGTTTATTGTCTGCTCCTACTTGCGTCACTCCCTCTCCTAGCCCGTACTGCCAAATTACATCCCCGTACTGCTGCAGGTTATGCTCTGTTTCCCAAGTGGTCTTCCTCTGCCCCTTCCAAACGGTCTCAAACTGTACGGCTACGGTCCCACCCGGTCCCCGGCTAATCTTGTGGGCCACCACTCTCAACGGCTGTGCCCTCTCCGTGTCTAGCTCGATCTCAACATCCTCCGAGGTCAGGTAGNCCAGTACTGCCTAATTACATCCCCGTACTGCTGCAGGTTATGCTCTGTTTCCCAAGTGGTCTTCCTCTGCCCCTTCCAAACGGTCTCAAACTGTACGGCTACGGTCCCACCCGGTCCCCGGCTAATCTTGTGGGCCACCACTCTCAACGGCTGTGCCCTCTCCGTGTCTAGCTCGATCTCAACATCCTCCGAGGTCAGGTAGAAAGGGGGTGCTTGCTGGAAAAACTTATTCAAGACGTACGCGCACAGCTTCCACGGCAGGTACTTGGGGACGTCGCTGTT